CATGGCGATCACCGGCACCACTGCCGGGGGGTGTGCCTGGCCTGCTGGGCTTTCTGATGGCATCACTGGCTGGGGGGTGGGCGAAGGCAGTGGGCTGCCTTTGCCGCCCCCCAGCTCTTGCCTGCCACCATTCTGCGTCTTTCCCCTTTTGCCTCCCATCATTGCGCCTATGTATGCAAATTAGCCACCATCTTTGTTGGCTGTTAACCACCATCTTGGTTGGCAGTTAATTTGCATATCGCCCTGATTAGCCAATGGGAAGGGTAGCGGAGGTATGCTAATTACCATGTTTCTCTTTTATTAGATAGGACTAGAGGCCAGGTGCACGAAAATTTGTGCACTCAGGGTGGGGGGGTCCCTTAGCTCGGCCTGTGCACTCTCACAGTCTGGGACCCCTCAGGGGATGACCACTTGCTGGTTTAGGCCTGATTCCCAAGGGATTGGGCCTAAGCTGGCAATCAGACATCCCTCTGGCAGCCCGGCAGCCATCGGGGGATGTCCACTTGCCAGCAGGGAGAAGACCTAAGCTGCAGTCGAACATCCTTAGCACTGCTGAGAAGGTAGGAGAGGCTCCTACCACCACCGCTGTACTGGCAGCCATCAGCCTGGCTTGTGGCTGAGCAGAGCTTCCCCCTGTGGGAGTGCACTGACCACCAGAGGGCAGCTCCTGCATTGAGCGTCTGCCCCCTGGTGGTGAGTGTGTGTCATAGTGACCAGTCATTCCCAGTCTTTCTGCTGTTAGGGTTAGTTTGCTTATTACCCTTTTACTACATAGGATAGAGGCCTGGTGCATGGGTGGGGGCTGGCTGGTTTGCCCTGAATGGTGTTCCAGATCAGGGTGGGGGTCCTGCTTGGGTGCCTGGCCAGCCTGGATGAGGGGATGATGGCTTTTTGCAGCTGGTCACACCCCCTTCAGGGTGGGGGTCCCCACTGGGGTGCCTGGCCAGCCTCGATGAGGGGCTGATGGCTGTTTTCAGGCTGCCCGCACCCCCTTCAGGTGGGGGTCCCCACTGGGGTGCCTGGCCAGCCTGGATGAGGGGCTGATGGCTGTTTTCCGGCGGGCCAAGCCTGCAACTGAAGCTCCCAGTCTCTCCTTTTTTTCTTTTCTTTTTTATTCTGGGATTTATTTACCTTCTGTAATTGAAACTTTGTTGCGGCTCCAGCTCCAAGGCCTGCTGGCTGAAAGCAGGTATCTGGGGTTTGTTTAGCTTCTATAATTGCAACATTGTTGCTTAGACTGGAGCTCAGAGCCGGGCTGCAACAGGCGGGGAACCTTGGCTTCCTCCATCACTGAAGCAACCAAGCCTCATGTTTGCTTCAGCTGCCTGGCTGCCAGCCGCCATCTTTGTTGGCAGTTAATTTGCATATCGCCCTGATTAGCCAATGGGAAGCATAGCAGAGGTATTGTTAATTACCATGTTGTCTATTATTAGATAGGGTATTGTCTGTATTTGTTATTTTGATTTTTAGAAGTTGTTCTTTACTGTTCTGAGTATTGTCTGTCCTGGCAATATCATAAATTGCCACATCTACCAGGAAATGTTTGACTCTGACTTTAGAACCCACATTATATTTCTGACATGAGGACTATAATATCAAAAGTATTTCTGACAATATGGGGGGATTAATCTATCATTCAAAAATATCTAATTAATAGTAAAAACTTTGGACACAATGGAAAGGTCTAAAGGATACAATCATAAGTTCCTTGAGATGGGATGAATGCCTCCATGCCTCTTCTTCTTCCTTAGAAGTATTTCTTTTATTCCTGGCTTTGCACAAAAAATAAAAATAAATCTGTTTGGGGAAGATTAGCATTGTGTTCATTTTCATTACTTAATAGAAGGATATATGAAAGCACCAGAGAAACAATGATGTAAAGAACCCTAGAACTGTATGTCCTTTCCTGAAGACTGTCTTACCAATCACTGTTCTTTTTTATTTATTTTTTTTCCCTACAGGCGAGAATCCCAAAATCCAGCATTCCAACATGCCTAGAAAGTATATCAGGAAGTTCTTTCCCAAGCGAAAGTGCTTTATTTTTGAACGTCCTACAAATGACAAAAACTTGTTACAACATATGGAGGGGGTGTCAGAAAACCAACTGGAGTGCAGTTTCCAGGTTCAATCCAAAAATTTCTGTAACTATATCTTCACAACTGCAAAAACCAAGACTCTCAGAGAAGGAATCATTGTCACTGGAAATCGTGAGTCTCCTTTGTTACAGCATGTCCTGCATTTTACTTCATGTGATGCAACTGTGACTGTGCTCAGGGTGTATCAGTAGTTCTGTTTCCTGCTCTATGGGATATGGGAATGCAGAGATTCAGGCCACACATTAAAGTTTCCCTATATGAGGGATTATTGAAGCCTAATGTATCTCATGAAACTAATACACTAATGACATAAGCGCAACCTGTTGTTAAGGAGAGGAATCTGCATGATGATGACAAGACCAATGAGATGAGTGTATCTTGGCGAGGATACAGAAGGTATTGTGTGAATTTACACCATTTATGAAAAATATAGAGCAGAACATAAGCCACTGAAAGTTCATATAGCTTGAGAAGAAAATTTAAATATAGCCTTATGTACAGGGCTATATTCATAGATCTATACCACTAGAGCACAGATACAGTGTTATGGGTTGAGTTGTACCCATGCTTGATTTAATATTTTAGTCACCATCCTGAAATGTTTGATGATTTTTTTATATGGGCCCAAATTTTAATTAGGAATGTTGCCCACCAAATTATCTACTTTACCTATCTGTAAAATAAACACTTTTAAAATTTATTTTTATTGAAAAATGCTTCCAAGAAACTCTTGAATATATTGGTTGAAATCATTAAGTTTAAATTATCATGAGATGAATTTGAGAACCATAAAAGAGAGAGTGTATAGGAGATACAATGATGTTATTACAAGGAAGAAGATTTATCCTATATAATAAAAGACTAATATGCAAATCGATCAAACTGCAAAACGACTGATCACTATGACATGCACTGACCACAAGGGAGCAGACCCTCAAAGCAGGAGCCGCCCCTTGGTGGTCAGTGCGCTCCCACAGGGGGAGCGCTGCTCAGCCAGAAGCCAGGCTCATGGCTAGCAAGAACAAGAGTGGTGGCAGGAGCCCTGACCGGTTTGGCTCAGTGGATAGAGCGTTGGCCTGCAGACTCAAGGGTCCTGGGTTCGGTTCCAGTCAAGGGAATATACCTTGGTTGCAGGTACATTCCCAGTGGGGGGTGTACAGGAGGCAGCTGATCGATGTTTCTCTTTCATTGATTTCTTCTAACTCTCTATCCCTCTCCCTTTCTCTCTGTAAAAAATTAATAAAGTATATTTTAAAAAAAAAGAGCGGTGGCAGGAGCTTCTCCCACCTCTGAGGCAGTGATAAGGAGCAGGGAACTGAGCAGTAAAGAGCAGCAGGCAGGTGAGAAGTAAGGAGCAAGGGGTCCTGGACTGCGAAAGGGCACATGCCAGGCCGAGGAACCCCCCTGCAGTGCACAAACCTCATGCACTGGCCCTCTAGTATAGTATATAAAGGAGGAGGAGACAAGAATGAGGACAAGGAAGAAGATGAGAAGGAAAGGAAAAAAGACAAAACAGAAATTTTCATTTCAATAAAATTGTTATTTTTAGAAGAGAGATCTCTAAAGCTTGTGAAACAGTGAGTAAGAATTTCCTGCCATTCCTCAAATATCATGTGTCATTCAGGGCTGGGGACATTGGCAAAGGCCTATGTGGATGCCATCAACAGTGGAGCAGTGCCTTGTTTGGAAAATGCAGTGATAACTCTGGCTCAGCGTGAGAATTCAGCAGCCATGCAGAAGGCAGCCGACCACTACAGCCAGCAGATGGCCCAGAGAGTGAGCTTCCCCACAGACACTCTGCAGGAGCTGCTGGACCTGCACGCAACCTGTGAGAAGAAAGCCATTGCAATCTTCTTGAAGCATTCCTTCAAAGATAACAACCAGGTGTTCCAAAAGAAGCTTCAGGTAATAGGTCTTAGCATATATCTTCCTAATTTCTTTTCTTCTTGATCAACGGCTACAAATTCCCATTTTCCCCATAGTTCATATGTTTCTTATTTTAAAAAGTCTGGTTTCATGTGAGTGACTGGGCTCTATAGACTACCATTATCCTTTTTCTGAATGATTGGTTCTTTATTTCCATTATGGCAAAGCAAACTAATATGTGCTTATTAATAGAAACACTCAAGTTATTATGTAAAAATTCTTCAGGTGAGTTCCTAGCACAAGATGTGTGGGTGCTCTTCTCTGTTTACCAAGAGCTGAAAACAAGATTCAGATGTTGTACACCTGAAACCAATATAATATCATTAGGAGGGTCATTTGGCCTCCTTGCCATATTCAAGGCAGCAATGGTGCATTGTATCCTTGTCTTGTTTCTAATACCTTTGACTACTTCTCTGCTACCAACTAGAGAAAACTACTTTTAAAGACTCATGTGTTTATATATGCCCACTTGGGTAATCTCCATTTCTCATTTTTTTTAGTTAATATCGCATCACAAATTCTTTTTTTAAATTGTTTTATTGCTTAAAGTATTACAAAGAGTATTACATATGTCTCCTTTTTTTTCCTGCCCTTGACAATCCCCTGGCCTCCCCTACCCCACACTGTCTTATGTCCATTGGTTATGCTTATATGCATGCATACAAGTCCTTCGGTTGATCTCTTACCCACCCTCCCGCCCCCCAACCCTCCCCAGCCTTCCCGCTGTAGTTTCACAGTCTGTTCGAGGCTGCCCTGCCTCTGTATCTATTTTTGTTCATAAGTTTATAATGGTCTTTATTATCCATAAATGGGTGAGATCATGTGGTATTTTTCCTTCATTGACTGGCTTATTTCACTTAGCATAATGCTCTCCAATTCCATCCATGCTGTTGCAAATGGTAAGAATTCCTCCTTTTTTACAGCAGCATAGTATTCCATTGTGTAGATGTACCACAGTTTTCTAATCCATTCATCTACTGATGAGCACTAAGGCTGTTTCCAGATCTTAGCTATGGTGAATTGTGCTGCTATGAGCATATGGGTGCATATATCCTTTCTGATTGGTGTTTCTGGTTTCTTGGGATATATTCCTAGAAGTGGGATCACGGGGTCAAATGGGAGTTCCATTTTTTAGTTTTTTGAGGAAACTCCATACTGTCTTCCATAGTGGCTGCACCAGTCTGCATTCCCACCAGCAGTGCACGAGTGTTCCTTTTTCTCCATATCCTCTCCAGCACTTGTCGTTTGTTGATTTGTTGATGATAGCCATTCTGATAGGCGTTAGATGGTACCTTGTTGTTTTGATTTGCATTTCTCGGATGATTAGTGACTTTGAGCATGTTTTCATATGTCTCTTGGCCTTCCTTATGTCTTCTTTCAAAAATTGTCTATTTGGGTCCTTTGCCCATTTTTTGATTGGATGGTTTATCTACCTTTTGTTAAGTTGTATGAGTTCCCTATAAATGTTGGAGATTAAACCCTTATCGGTGATTACATTGGCAAATATGTTCTCCCATGCAGTGGGCTTTCTGGTTGTTTTGTTGATGGTTCCTTTTGCTGTGCAGAAGCTTTTTATTTTGATGTAGTCCCATTTGTTTATTTTCTCTTTAGTTTCCAATGCCCTAGGAGCTGTATCGGTTAAGAAATTGCTTTGTCATATGTCTGAGATTTTGTTGCCTTTGGATTCTTCTAGTATTTTTAAGGTTTCCCATCATACATTTAAGTCCGTTATCCATTTTGAGTTTATTTTTGTGTATGGTGTAAGTTGGTGGTCTAGTTTCATTTTTTTGCATGTATCTATCCAATTTTCCCAACACCATTTATTGAAGAGACTATCTTGACTCCATTGTATGTTCTTGCCTCCTTTGTCAAATATTAATTGAGCATATTGTTTCGGGTCGATTTCTGGGCTCTCTATTCTATTCCATTGTTCTATATGTCTGTTTTTGTGCCAGTACCAGGCAGTTTTGAGAACAGTGGTTTTGTAATAGAGCTTGATATCTGGTATTGAGATCCCACCTACTTTGTTCTTTCTCAGCATCACTGCAGCTATTTGGGGTCTTTTTTTATTCCAGATGAATTTTTGGAGAGTTTGTTCTAGGTCTGTGAAATATGCCATTGGTATTTTAATAGGAAGTGTGTTGAATTTATAGATTGCTTTGGGTAGTATGGACATTTTAATGATGTTGATTCTACCAATCCAAAAACACGGTATGTTCTTCCATCTGTTTATGTTTTCCTCTATCTCTTTTTTCAACATCCTGTAGTTTTCTGAGTAGAGGTCTTTTACCTCTTTAATTAAGTTTATCGTAGGTATCTTAATTTTTTTGGTACTATGGTAAATGGGATTGTTTTTTTAATCTCTCTTTCTGTAAGTTCACTATTGGTGTATAGAAATGCCTCAGATTGCTTGGGGTTAATTTTGTATCCTGCTACATTGCCAAGAGTAATTTCCATTTCTTAAAATGAGCCAGTGCCACGTAAAAAAATCTAATCAGATGATCAATATTTAGTATATGCACAGCCCTAGAGACTGTCATGTATGGATGCCAGGAGAGAGAACTCTTGAGGACAACATAATTCTGCCTCATAAAAACACCTTCACCTTGTTTTTGAGTCTGTCATTGACCATCCTACGAGTTACAAAACTGTCACTTCAATCCAGAAGAAAACCAATAAAATTGTAATTTTTTAGGTATAGCAAAAAGTTTATTTTCCTGTATTTCGATACAATCAAGCCCTCATTATAATAGTTCATGAGAAGTTCAAAACTCTGTTCAGTGATCACTTATCTCATTAGTGGACAATTCATTTACTGTGTATATATTTTTATCCATAGCAATCCAAGTTTGCAGAGGAAAGTCTACTTCCAGTCATATTGAACTTTCCATTGCTCATTGCTGGGCCACTGTTAATCTTATGACTGATAAAGGAATCTTGATAATACTGGATTGCATATTTGATATTTGCTAACATAGTTCAATTTAAAGGTTCCCATCAAAGAAAAAACAATGTTTATGACTATGTAAAGTGACTACAATAATTAGACATTGTGGTGACCATTTTGCAATGTATATAAATATCAAACCATTACATTGGACACCTGAAGCCAATATAATGTAATATCTCAATTGAAAAAATGAAGGAACCCTGGTGTTCATGTCTACCAACACCATCATTTCACAAATGTTGACCCTGAACCCAAGAGAACTGAGGAACTTTACACAGGTCACAAAATGAATTGGTCTAAACTGTGACTAAAATGAGCTTCTTAATCATGGTTTATGGTTCCATACTCCAGTCCAACTCAATGCCATAAAACTGCTTCTTCCAAGAGGATCACACTTGGTTCTTCCCTTCTAACAGCCTCTTTCCTTTGTATTTCTCCACATTTCTGTGGCAGGACATCATAAAGAAAAAGAAGAAAAAATTCTTGCTGAAGAATGAAGAGGAATCTCTCAAATATTGCCAGGCTCAGCTTACACAGCTTTCAGAGCGGCTGATGGAAGGCATTTCGAAAGGAACTTTCTCTGTACCTGGAGGATACATTCTTTACTCAGAGGAAATGAATAAGATTGAAAGGTCCTATGAATTGGTGCCCAGGAAAGGAGTGAAGGTGATTAATAAAATGAGGGGGAAGACTAGCCAATAGAGTCAAAGAGTGTTTGTGGGTTCTTTTGAAAATCTAAGACAATAGGACCATTGGTGAAGACATAGCAAAGCATAGCGATATCTGTACATTTTTACCTTTTACATCTACAATTAGTTAAATACTCTTAAATAAGCCAGAATTTTCCCCCTAAATATAGGATTTATTATCAGGAATGTAGATGAAAGAGAACATATCTTTCATTTAGGAAACAATGTAATAGTTTATCACTCTGTATAAGGGATACATAATTAATGAAACAATGTTCTCAACAAGCTTATGATCTTATCTAAAAAGGAAATATAAATAGTCAAGTGGATTGGTAGGATAATGATTATCATATAAGTAAAAACTAATAGTGATGATAATAATGATAGAATGATGGTGATGGTTGATCTATATTGAGCACACACTTCTTAAAGCAAGTATATTTTTAAGTTGATCATTTAAATTGATTATCACTTTAATCTTTAGAATAATATGACTGTAAGAACTAATGTCATCCCCACAATACCGTAGAGAAATTAGATGCACTGAGAACCTCATAAGTTACCCAAGAACATACAGCCAGCAAGTGGTATAGCTAGATGGGCCTGTCTGTGTACCTGCACCCAGTCAAATCTGAGGAGGAAGTGTAGCACAGTTTCTTGGAAGAGGAGGTAGAAGCTATAAGTTGAAGTATTTATTAGTAGTATCTGAGTAAAGAAAGGGTAGATGAGCATCCAGTCAGCAGAAAAAGAATGTGCAGAGATTGCATACAATTGAAGAGTGTTTGTAGAACTGCCATAAGTGGCATCATTAAGATGAGGCTGGGGTTGCCAAGTTGGGTTTTTCCCCCCAACTAAAGATGTTGGATTTTCTATTGTGGCCCTTGAAGAAAGGGAACCGCTGTTGGATCCTAAGAAAGATGATGAACTTGCAGGGTCACATTTGTAGTTTTCTTGAACAATGACTTTCCCAGCAAGAATAGTCTGTGCTCCTTGTTTCCTCAGGCAATGGAGGTCCTCCAGAACTTCAAGCAGTCACAGGCTGCAACAAAGGAATCCATCATGCAGATTGATAAGGCCCTCACTGCTGGTGGGAAGGCTCTAGAAGGTACAGGGCAGGGCTGTGATCATGGAGGGCAGGGGGGTTCTTGCAGTGCCCCTCAAGAACAAGTCCTTCTTGAAACAAGGTGCTTCCACAAAAGGTTTAGAACAACGTGGCTAAATCCAAAAATAACCAGGTGAGTTTTAATCGCTCCCTCAGGCATCCAGTGCTTTTACGTCATATTCTGAAACATGTTTTGCTGGTATTGTTAGTAAGAATATTCAGCAATTCCTCTCTGCCATTTTAAAACCATTTTAGCCTTACCTCTGAAGGGTACATCTAGTTATAACTGTTATTTTCTTCTCTCTGTAAAACCATTGTGGGACAGCTGAACAAGCCAAGACCGAGGAATTGGAACGAAAACAGGAGTTGCTAACACAGACACTGAATGAAACACAGCAAAAAATGGAGGCTCTAGAGAGAAGCTACCAGGAAAACATTGCCCAGATGAATGAGAAGATGAAAGAGCAGAAAAACAAACTGAAAGAGCAGGAAAAAATTCTGCAGCACATGCTGATGGTAGGTCGGGGTGGGATGTGGGCAAAGCCTGAAGGACAGTCACCTAGTTCCTCTGGTGAAGGGAAGACCAAAACGCTAAAGTCATAAACTGTAAAGTATGACTGTTTACTATAACTGTAAAGTATGCCTTCACTAAAGGCATATGATTCAGTGAAATGTCAAGTAAATGGGATCATTCTAAAGCCCCATGTCTTTAAGACTCAGCACCTTCTGTGGTATTAGAATTAGGGGGTTCAAATAACATGGCCCATACTCATGATCTACTGTTTGTGGTGATTACAGGGTCCTATTGTGCCCAGGTGAGTAGGACTTCAGTTCTTAGGATCTTTGGTGAACCATCAAAGACATTTCATATAGAGCCATCTGGTCTCAAAGTAACAGATATGAAATATGGGATAATGAAAGCCCTAAATTGTGCTACATTGGTGTTCACATCAGCCTGCTCCATTCTACACATCCAGAGTAAATTCATTTTTGCCCTACCTGGAGTTTGATAGCCCATATTCTCTGGAGAGTCAGTAGTTCCCATTATGCATAATGTATATGGTCATCCTACCTCAGTGGAATTAAGAAATAGTTAAAACTAAACCTCCATCCTTTCAAAAAAACATCCTTAGGACTGAAACATATTCCTGGCATAGGTGTCCAGCCAGAGAAAGTTCCAACTCCTTCACAACCCCAGTGAGATCCTGATAAGGGAACTTAGGAAGGTATAAAACAAAGATACTCCTGCTACCAGATCATGAGGTTTGGAAATATTGGACAAAAAGAGTCAAAAAGCTATTTGAATTCTACAATAATTGTTATGTGGATAATAAAATTAAATTTAATTGAGTGCATGTATTACTGGGATTTCCATAAACCCATAGTCGTCATTTCTTAATTGTAAATTCCTCTGCATCACTAGGCAGAAGAGATACAGAAGAAATACAAAGAGAAAAAGGAAGAGATGAAAAATGTGATTGAAGGTGAGAACAGCTGAAAACACTCCAGATATCAAAATAATAAATTGTACTTCAAAATTAAGAACTCCACTTTTTGTGAAAATCAGAATTTTCATTCTTTTAGTGAAAAGACAAGTCACAGATTGGAAGCAACTATTTGAAAATCACACATTGGGTAAAGAACTTGTATCCAAGATATTTAAAGAATTCTTAAAACTCAACAAATATCTCACTAATTAGAAAAGCAAATGTCCCAAGTAAAAAGAAAAAAAATGATATAATTTAAACAGATACTTCATCAAAAGTAACTTGGATAGCAATAAGCACAGTAAACAACATCATTAGTTAGTAACATCATTACTTATTAGAAAAGTAGAAATTCTAACCACAATGAAACACCACTATGCACCTAATAGAATGACTAGAATTAAAAAGACAAAACATCTGAAATATTGGTAGCAATGTGGAGCAACTGGAACCCTTATACACTGCTGGTGGAAATGTAAAATGCCAAATCACTGGGGAAAGGTTGTCAGTTTCCTAAAAAGTTAAATACCTACATGCAATTTAATCATTTTGATTCTACATCTATCCCCAGGAAAAATGAAAGTTTGTGCATACGATAGCTTTATTGGTAATAGCCAATAACTGAAACAATGTCCATCCACAGGTGAATGATGAACAAATTTTAACATATGCATACAAGCCAATACTACTGAACAATAAAAAGGAATAAACTATCAATACATAGAAGAATGTTAGATGAATCTGAAAATAAATATGTTGCGTGAAAGAAGGCAGTGAAAAATGTCTACATACTGTATGATCCTTTTATGTAAAATTCCAGAAAATGCAAGCAGTTCTATAGTGACAGGAAGCTGGGCCGTGGTCAGTGATGGGGATGAGGGTTTATGTTCAGGAGGGAGGAGTTTCCTAAGGGCATGTGAAGATGTAGATGTTTCTGAGTGATGTGCATGCTCATTACTTAAGTGGTTAACAGGTGCATACATGTATGATAGGTAGATCAAAACTTATGTGACAGTATATTGCATTATTATTATACCTCAACAAAACTTTTTCAAAAACAAACAAACAAACAAGCAAAAACACTCCAGGTAATCTGAAGCCTTATAATTGTTTAATGTTAGCCATATCAGTGGACCTAAAATCAAAGAATAACAAGTATAGTTCATAGTCTTAGGGGATTTTTTTAACTATACACTTAAAATTTACACTTGAAATTACTCAGTTTTGTTTACTCAGTTCAAAAATTCTCACAAGAAGTTTTCTCTATGAAGTAAGAATAAAACAAAAAACATGGGTTGAAAGGCAAAATAAGACTATAACAATTTAGTCCTTATGTTTCTCTCTTATTTTTCTTCCTCAGAATCTATAAGACAAATGTTGGAGGAAATGCAAAAGAAAAATGAGCAGATGATGGAAGAGGAAAAAGAGATTCATGAGGTAAAAATGAAGCAATTGATTGAGAAGATGGAGATGGAGAATTCCCAGTTCATGGCAGAGCAAGAGAGGATTCTAAATCTTAAACATTTGGCATTCAACTCTGTCATCGCCATTTTATTTTCCACTACACTGAATAAAAAATGTGCTAGAAGTTAGAGCATTATGTAAGATTAAGAATTTTTCTAGCCCAAACACTAGTAGACACTTCATTCTCATACTGCTTCTACCTGTGACCATCTCTGGTTACTAAAGGGTATTACTTGCAGGGTAAAATCTCATGGAATCCTTTATTATTAAATCACCAATAAATAGTAGCTTTCCACTGCCAAGCACTGTGCAATGGCTTTACAATCAATATGTTTTCAAATCCTTATGTTAACACTTGGAGTGCGGGAAACGAGTTAAGTCTGCTCGCGTGAATTGCGCATACTCCGCGGGAGCGGATAACTCGGTTCATATAGATTTGCGGTGGAGTGCGGGAAACGTGTAAACTCGGGCCGATTGTAACTGCGTATTACCAAATATTTGTTTGTAATCCACCCTTTTGGTGGATGGAACAAAACCAAAAGACAGAGCCATCTTATATTTTGGCGGGAAATTCACCCGCACTCCAAGTGTTAAGTTGTAGGTACTATGATACTCTCATTTTCAAATGAGGAAATTGTAATTTCATGAGGGATAAGTAATGTTTCTGAGTCCTGCCTTGTGGAAGAATAGCTGTCTGTCTATCCTACTCAGTGGAGTTCAAGTTGATTCTCTTTCTGCCAGACCTGGTATAACTTTATCTCTGCAGGAACCCTAATGAATAGGAGGAAGACTCCGTGACCATATACACTATTAATCATGTAATTACATACTCAGGCTGTTTGTATCATCCTGTTCTTAGGCTCTACTCCAAGTCATTGTTGTGTGTAGATGTCCACCCAGAAATACAGTGTGGACTGGCACAGGCCGTGGTCTCCTCAACTTATTAACTGTTATCTTGCCTCCAAGTTTTGGAGAGTTGAACTAAGTTCCCTGATCAAACATCTGTCATGATTCTGAATCATGTAGTAGCCTTCCCAATGGAATTCACTCATCTGTCTCACCTTCTTAGATAGATATTTGAGAGGCCACCATACCTAGATCAGAGTTGAAGGAAAAAAGATATAATTTTCAGGAAGAGTGTGGTGCATGTGGGTGAAGAGGGCCAAGAATATGATTCTGGGTTGGTAAAAGTTTAGAAACTAGAAAAGAACAACATTTCTGTAGCTAAATAGAACTCAGAAATATTAATGAAAAACAGGATACGCTGGAGCAGTGGTCGGCAAACTCATTAGTCAACAGAGCCAAATATCAACAGTACAACGATTGAAATTTCTTTTGAGAGCCAAATTTTTTAAACTTAAATTATATAGGTAGGTACATTGTTATTAACTTAATTAGGGTACTCCTAAGGCTTAGGAAGAGCCACACTCAAGGGGCCAAAGAGCCTCATGTGGCTCGCGAGCCGCAGTTTGCCAACCACGGCTCTGGAAAGAGTGAAATATTAGAAATTGAGAAGTTCACTTAGTTCACAAATAAGTTTAAAAAACTCATGAAGGATTAACATAGCTATTGAAAAGGGAAATAATTTGGCTAAGGTGGGAAATGTTTTACCTTGTGTGAGTTCAGTCTTCATTTTTTCTCTCAGGAAAATTTACAGTGTCTCCAGGAGAAATACAAGGAAGAGATCAAGAAACTTCAAGATGAAGTAAAGGTTTTGGAGGAGAAAATGAAAGAAACAAAATGTACCATATCCTAAAAATGCTAGGAACATAATTTCCTAACCGGCTACCTCCCTCCACAGGGAACAACTTGATTGAGCAACTTCTGAATGTCACACAGTTGCCACTAAACTAAAATTAGAATCAGGATGTTTGTAATTTTGTTGAACCAAAAAAACTGCAAAGACAAAATAAACTGCAAATACAATGTTTCCCTACAGAGTGAAACAATTCTTGCTGAATATAGTAATAATGATTAGTATGATGCTTACATAGATTCTTTATTTGAAAGAATGGTTACTGAGTCTAGAGACACATTAAATTATATAATGAGATGGATTTTACAATGAGGAGATATCAGGTGGCTTCTGTTCAGTATAGACTTGCTCCCCCTCACATACCTCACTCTCCTAGACATCCTAAACCCCTTGCTATTGCTCAAAGGTTTGGTTGGTTTTGAGATAGGGTTGGAGTGTTGTGAATTTAATACAAAGCTGATGGAAATGAACAAAGCCATGGTACACACTGATCATCATTCCTGCCAAGTAGTCTCTGGCTCATGGGCTGGCTGCAAATCAGGGAGACCTGGGACAATTGACTGCAAGGTGCAGACAGAGTACAGTTCTTGGTTGGGTGGTGGCTAACGGTCTGTGGGCACAGATGGGACTCTGAGATTCTGGTAGAAGAAGTACTTGCCTCTGTGCAAAATGGATTTATGTGTGGATGCTTCACCCTCCCTGTCTACAAAATTCTTCTGGGTAATTACTGTCCATCCACAGGCTACCCACCTCTCAGTCTTCTACTCTCTTCCTTTAGTCTGTTTCTTCCCACAATTCAAAATGTAAATTCCACAGTCATAGAAAGGGGAGTTTGAATTCAATGTTGAAGAAAATTTATTTTCATTCCTCTGAGAACCCTAACAATAATCCTGCAAAACTTAAACTAGACTCTATTGTTCTCTCTGCCCTTCTGCTTTGTGTAGGAACAATATTTTGAGGGGGGAAAAGAATATTGACCTTCAACTCACATGATATGCAAACTAAATTTGAGATGAATCATAGTTTTAAATGTTAAAGTGAATATTTTAAAGAAAGCTTCTGGAAAAAAATAGAAGATATTTTATCATCTTAGTGTGAAAGTGAACTCTTGCGCCCTGATGATGAGACTGAAATTGATGTTGTCACCATGAAAAACATTATGGAGATTATTACCATTAAAAATAAAAAATAAATGTACTATATGATTCAGCAATTCTACTTCTGGGTATTTAGCCAGAAAAAAAGAGAAAACACTAACTCAGAAAGATATATGTACTATATTCATTGCAGCATTATCTATAATAACCAGTATATAAAAGCACTCTAAGGGTTCATCAACAACTGAATGGATAAAGAAAATGTGACATATATATATAATACTCAGCCATAAGAAAAAATGAAACCATGCCATTTGCAACAACATGGATGGACCTCAAGAGCATATGCTAAGTGAAATAAATCAGAACAGAGAAAGTCAAATACCATATGGTGTCATATGTGAACTAAAAAAACCACCCATTTATAAACAGAACTAGAGGCCCTGTACACAAAATTTGTACATGAGGGGAGGAGGATGTCCCTCAGCTTGGCCTGTGCCCTCTTGCAATCAGGGACCCCTCAAGTAGGGTCCCTAGGCTTGGCCGGTGCTCAGGATCTATCAGAGCTTTCCTTCCCCCAGCTGCTGGCATCTGGCCTCCTCCCAAATCTCTCAGTGCTTACCATTTGTGAGGCATTGCTCCCCCTCCCCCACCACTGGTCACCTCCCTCTTCGGGCTACAGGCGTATGGTGTGATCGATTGGCTGGCCTGGACCTCTCTCTGTGGGGCGATCACTGGCTAGCCCTGCACATCCACCAGAGTATCACTGGCTTGGGCCTCCCTCTGTGGGGTGATCAATCATGGGGCACTGTTATCAATGGCTCTGCAGAGGAAGGCCTTGCCCACCCACCGCAATACCATTGGCCAGGTAGCTTGGGCCTCCCTCTTTGAGGCGACCATGGAAGTGCTCCCCGCCCAGATCAATCGCTCCACCGGCCAGTGGCCTTGGCCTTCCTCTGCAGGGTGATCATGGGGTGATGGCCAGGCCACCCAACCAATTGCATTGCACCTGCCTTGGCTGGCCTGGCACCAGTGAGTCTCATAACATGGTCATCTGGAAGGTCATCCAGATGGTCATTCTGCTGCTCAGTTGTTCAGTCAATTTGCATGTTACACTTTAATTATTATAGATAGATTGGGGGTTGCAAGAGGCACTGGAAGAGGAGTAGCAGAAATTGGTAAAGGAAAATCCAAAAGGTACAGTCTTATAGGTATAAAATAAATAAGTCATTAGGATGTAATATACAGCATTGCACCTATAGTCAATTAAAGTTGCTAAGATAGCAAATCTTAAAAGTTTTGATCACAAGAAAAATATTCTGTAACCATGTATGGTGATGAATGTTAACTAGACTTAGTTATAGTGATCATTTGCAATATATACCTTGTATAAATATCAAATAACTATGTTATACACCTAAGACTAATATGTTATACTAGAGGCCCGGTGCACAAAATTTGTGCACTCAGGGGGGTCCCTCAGCCCAGCCTGCGTCTTCTCGCAGTCCTGGAGCACTTGGGGGATATCTGAATGATAGCTTAGCCCTGCTCCCCATGGGGAGTGGGCCTAAGTCGGCAGTTGGACATGCTTAGCGCTCCCGCTGAGGCAGTAGGGGCTCCTGCCACCCTTGCTGCGCTTGCCAGCAGTGAACCCAGCCTTCTGGCTAAGCGGTGCTCCCCCTGTGGGAGCACACTGACCACCAGGGGGTAGCTCCTGTGTTGAGCGTCTGCCCCCAGTGGTCAGTGTGCATCATAGTGATGGGTTATTTAGCCATTCGGTCAATTTGCATATTAGGGTTTTATTATATAGGATGTTAATTATAACGATAAAAAGGAATTAAAATATTTCACTCATTAAAATGTCATAATAATATGATTCAGGGGGTGTTTTGGTGAACAGTGTGCAAGGGTGATTCCTTTCCCAGGTTCTTGTAAAGATGGATTTGATTAATAAAGCCAAGGACAAAAGTAGTAGGTGAGAAGTACAGAAACTTTATTGCAAACAGATACTCTCTAAAATTCCTAATTCTAAGTTTCTTTCTTTCTTTTTTTTTTTGGTTAGCACGCTCATACTATGGTTTTAAATAGACATACATGGACAAGTCGATATAGACAGATTTATAATTCTATACAGTCAGTCTGACATACACAAGGACACTGTAAACAGGGGCGCAGGCAGGAGAGCTGGTGTGCAAAGTGGGTGCAGCGAGAGGCTGTGGCCATGCCTGGAGCTCCCCGGCTTGGCTCCACTCTTCTTGCACCACAGCTCTGAGCCTGGACCAGGGGGCCAACTTCTAGCCCGGAGTGGAGCAGAGGACCTGGGCCTGCAGGGAAGCTGGGGTGCTCAGAGACAAGCCCACCCCATCCTCTTGCCGAATCTGCGGCTCTGTAGCCTTTAAATAGTTTTCCCAGGCGCCAGGCCGGCAAGGGCTCCTGGGGGCACGCCGGGGCCACATGCAGCTCCTCAGCGAGTCCTTGGTCCCAGGCTAGACACCTTCATCTCCGGCCCAATGCTCGCTCCAACTCAGATCCGGATCTAGCCAAGGTTCGCTCGGCTGGGTCCAGCTCGGAGGGGGCGTCTTGGTTCGTAGGGGCCTAGGCCAGGCTCCAGCGCGTCCAGTTCACAGGCGCGGGGGCACAGTCCGGGTCAGGGCGGCGGGAACATGGGCAACGAGGGCATCCTCTTGGTGTCACTGGGCCTGGCCGCCCGCCGAGGCCTGAGAAAGTGCACAGTCGCCACCCGCACCATCCTGAGGGAAATTGCAATTCATCCGTTTTTCGCGGCACTTCGCTCTGATGTCTTTTTGTTTTGTCTGGTTTTGGAGGGCAGAGTGGGGTCCGGAAAAGCAAACACAAAACCAACCTGGAGGGGGGCGAGGGAGGAGGGGCTGAGCAGGGACATGGCTGGCGCACAGAGTGAGGCCCTGCGTGAGTCCTCTGCCCCCCCTCCCCTTCGCACCAGCGACCCTCGTGGCCAGCTGGGCGGTCAACTGTTGTACTTGTTATGGGTTCACTCAGCGAGATAGACCACCGACTCAGAATTTAAATTTAAGAGCCTTTATTAAGCTGGCCAGCTGACTACAGTTACAGCACCCTGCCGAAGCAGAAGCTGAACTGCAGCGCAGACTACAGGAGTTACATATTATTAAATTTTGTGGAGGCCCAGAGAAAATGTGTCTTTCAAATTCTGGGCCTCCCAATATGGAGGAAACTCTCTTTATTTATACTTTTCCCAGTCCTTTGTCTCCCAAATTTGGAATGAGACTTCCGGGCCTTCTGAGAAAGAAGGCCTGCGTGCTGGGAAGGGGCCATGAGATCATATCTCAAGGCCTGGCCTGATGTCAGTACCTTTCTATCTATGTGTTTTAGGAACAGACAGCACAGGATGACCCGTCTGGCCAAAGCGCCAGATATGCAGCCCAGCACAGTACTGGCAGGCGTTGAGGCTGGAGGCCGGGCCCTGCAGGCCATAGTAGCGGAATGAGGAGTGCTGCTTGGACTTGAGCCGCAGGCTGGCTAGGCTCCAGTTGCACGTGTCCTGGTAGACACTGTAGGGTGAGGCGGGTGTGCCGTAAGGACAGGCGCCTGGGGACATGGCCGAGTTAAGCGAGGAGCCAGTGAGGTTGTTGATGTTGTTGAGACCCAAGTTCGGCATGCCAGGCACGGCGTCCGGGACCATGCTCAATGGCATGGTCATGGAGGAGATGGAGCTGGGTGCCGAGAACATGGACTGCGACGACAGCGGGCTCATGGAGTTGAAGAAGGTGAAGCTCTTGGTGGAGAGTGGCGCTGGCGCCAGGCTCTTGGCAGCCCAGTTGTTGTAGGAGTAGCCGGCAGCATACACGTCCTCGTAAGGCTGCACCAAGCCGCTGAACTGCAGCACATAGCCGTCCTTGCACAGGT